CAGAACCAGGTTGGAGGCCGGTTCAATCATTCTGCTTCATTCTATCTCTATTCTCCCAATCTTCAGCATTTGTTATATCATCTTTTAATGTTTTTCCTGATTTTCGTCCTTGTAGTAGCTTCATCATTAATATATTTCATTGTACCATAACAATTTTTGAACAAAAGAAATAGTGTTTAAAAGTTAGCACCCAGCTTTAGTTGATCCAGCTAGAAAGCGGCAACCAGGGTCTAAATCTGGCTGTAGTGATGAACTCAGGCCTGAACCTTCAGAGGCTCATAAAGACAGGAACAAAATCAGCCTTCTATCTGCTAACCAACATCTCCAGAATGAAAGGACTAATGTCTGAGCAGGACCTTGAAAAACGAATTACTACTTCACAGGTTTGCCTGAAACATGGATCAGGCAGCAAAGACTCAACACCAAAGTCTGCAGAATTTCTTGGTTGAATCCCTTTATGTTTTCTCTGCTTTTTATCTCCATAGTACCTTCATACGTCCTGGTTTCATTTAGCTATATTAAAATTTTAAAATGAATAATGTTTTCCTGAAATTTGTGTATTTTCCCTTAATTTGAGCAAATAAATACGACAGTTTTCAGGTGATATTTCCATTTCTTTAGTTCTTTAGTTAGTTTAGTTATTGTGGATTTCCCAACCGTTTCATGCAACGTTCATCTGGATGCATCCTGAGTTGTTTGAGAAGCATCGCGTAGTTTGCAGGAAGTCATTAATGAAAACAAATCCAAACGGTCTGATTAGTCTCAATGAACCGATAAGTTGTATTTTCTCCGGTTCTCCTTCGTCTGATTGAATCATTTTAAACTAAAGGAACCTGATTCCTTTTCCAGGATGTTCACTGATCACGCAGTTTGTTTTTCTTGCCACCAAGCAGCGTTCATCTCCGCCTTCCACCTCCCTCTCCGTTCCAGGTCTTGCAGTCCTGCCTCGTGCACATCATCCATAAAGGCCGTTACATCGCCTCCAACTACAGCGGCGCCTTCTTTAGGGCGGAGCACAACGCCACGGAGATGGAGGCGTACTGCAGCGCCCTCTGCCAGCTGCGAGCCCTGCTCTACCTGGCGCAGCAGCTGATCCACGACAACGACCACGGTCAGCTGTACACGCAGCAGGACACCGACCTGAGCGACAGATTCGTGCAGGAGTACAGCTCCATGCACAAAGCCTGTTTCTACGGACGCTGTCTGGGCTTCCAGGTGGGCCGGCAGCTTTGTGACGCACACATAGAGTCAGATCTGATGTTTGTGATGGTCCTGCTCATCCATTAAGAGCTGGATGTGCTTTGTCTGGTTCTGCAGTTCTCTCCCGCCCTGCGGCCGTTCCTCCAAACCATTGTCATCAGCATGGTTTCATACGGAGAGACTTACGGGAAGCAGCAGTCTGGGATTGGTGAGCCTCTTTTACCTCCCGCTCTGCAGCAAACCGTCTCCCATCCTGATGAAACGAGTTGTTTCTCTCCCCTGCAGGAACAGCCGCCCTGTCGCTCCTCACATCAGGGAAGTATGTGATCGATCCGGAGCTGCGAGGGGCCGAATTCGAACGCATCACTCAGAACCTGGACTTGCACTTTTGGAAATCCTTCTGGAACGTCACAGAGTCTGACATTTTATCAGTAGGCAGGGTCAAATACTCCTTATTTCATCAGATTCATCAGCGACAGCTGCGCCGCCTCCTCACATGTTTTCCTCTTCCCAGGGATTTACCCGGATCGCCTCGAACCCGGTGCAGGTGAACATCACGCTGACCGTACCTCCGGTCAGCCTGCGTCTCCCTCTGGCCTCGGACCCCAGGCTGTCCACCAGCATATCTCCTCCCATTGCCCACTGGGGCCCCGGGCCCGTCTACATGAGGCTGATCTCCTATGAGCTGCGAGAGGGTCAGGTGAGGATCATAAATATACGATCCATGGGTTTAAAATGCAAAGGAGAAGAAATAAACGTCATCTGAAGACAC